GGTTTGGGGCAGTGACCTATAGCTCTTAGGATCCACTGAGCAGCAGTAGAGTTTTTCTGAGGCAACTGCTAAGTTTTGCCTCCATGTAAGGTTTTCACTGGATCATCCTGGAGCTCTTGCCCTCAACCCCTTCCCTACAGCAGTTTGTGTCCAGGGTGCTCCTGTCCCACCTGCGTTATGGAGCAAAAGCATCCTCCACAACACCCACCTGAACAAACGCAGCCTTGAAAGAGCAAGTGTCTAGGATTCCAATGGAGGAAGGAGGATCCTCTGCCAGTGAACAGTAAAATCTCACACTCTTGTCTGAGGTTTTTCTATAGTACCTGTCTGTTGCTTTTATACTTCCTAGTGATGCTATAGAAGGTTTTCCAGCTTTGGCCTCAAGGTTATCCAGGCAAAAATGTCTCTCCTCCATTCCTTGGACTCTACTGCCTCCAGACCCCTCCATAAAAACTCACCTGGTCCTATAATCCTGCAGACCTGAGGCAGTGAAAGAGCTCACAGCTTCAGAGGGGTCCTTTAGCACTGCTCCGAAGTATACTCCTACACTGCAGACTTGGGAACTGTTTTCTTTTTCTGTGTTGTTTTTATTACGTTAGTCTGATATATGGCATTATATTATTTAGCGCATGCAAATCTCTTCAAGCTGATTAAAGCTGACATTACAGCTAAAAGATGGGGCATAAAAAGCAGTAATGAGGGGAAAGTATTTCATAGGCTTTCAAATTTTAGATCAATTAAATCTAAAATTGAAGGTCCAAACCTGACCCTACAACTCTTTTAAAAAAGGAAATTAATTCCTTTGTTTCTTATATTCCACCTCTGTAGACCATGGCTGAATACAATCCAAAGCAGTTTGCAGGACCTGCTGCTGGTTTTGAACAGTGTGGCAGGCTGCAGGGCATGCCAGTCTGGGAAATATTCATGCTGAACAGTTTGTTGCTTACATTTTCAGAGCTATGGACACCTTCAAGGAGAAGCTCCTTTTGGGTCTCTGAGCCAAGCTCTTTAGCAATGGCTCTGGGAACAAATTCTGGCATCCAAGATACAGTGGGACTGTACCGTAATTTAGTGTTTATCCATTGTTATTTTTTGCTGATGTCCTGTATGCTTACAAGGTGCTAGGCACTGTGCAAATATAAAAAGGCATGATCCTTGCTTCAAAGAAAAGATGAAAGAAATGTAAGCACGACACAAGCATGTGCGTGCGGGTGTGTGTGCATTCATATGTGCATGTGTGTGTAAAAAGGACTTTACAATTATTAATTTATTCTCACATATGAGACAGGAATCATTACTAGAAATAGCAAAATAGAAGCAAAAAGGTTCACGACCTGATTTTCAGAGAGCTGAACACCCTGAGATCTCATTTCTTTCAAATGAAGTCATGAGGTCTAAAAGCCTTGCTTAGACCAACAATATTAGATTCATCTGCCATCGTAGATAACTCTGGTGGGAAATGTAGCCTAGGCTGCAACCAGATCCACTGCAATGTGACTGGGATAGTGCTGCACAAAAAGAGATTTACAGATGACAATGCTGCCATTGCAGATAAAGCCTAAATGATATGACCAAGGCCAAAATGGGACTCGGCATCAGAGTCAAAATTCAGGAGTTCCTGGTTCCTCATCTTGTGTTCAGACCACAAGTCCCCAAACAAAAAAATCTCAAAAACAGAGCGAATGCTAATACCATAGAATAAAATGTTCCACTGCTTATCCCATGGCTAACAAAATAAGGGAGGTGACCATGCATGCTAACATAGAAGGAATTGCTCTAACCAGTGGGCCTACATGACAGACATTTGCAACCTGCAGTGAAATGAATTTCCCAGCAGAAATTATAGCGAAAAAATGGTTTCCATTAGAAAAGGGTTGCGGCATCTCGGCTGTTATTTTTTCGCCTTCAACCTGGAAAGCATTTCTTGCATTCTTGTCTCAGCGCACTACCTTAACATCCCTTAATGTGCAGCACCATAGTAATTCATCATTACCGGGCCTCCAAATTATTCTAGTGTTGATTAAATTAGTAAATGCAATCACAATCTGAAGCGAGTTAATTGAGAGAATTTATTTGGCCCTGACAGTTTTATGCATGTTTGATTAAGTATTATAAGGTTTGTTTTTGATTTTGCATAATTTAACTTTAAATCCTGCACTGGGGGGGCCCATCAACTATTAATGACCAAAATAAACTCTTTTAAGATGCATATATTTATGATTTATTTCTAAACGCAATATCTTCCAGATTTTTTTTGTTCTGTTGCCAAAGTGACAAATATGTTTAAAGTAATATTTTGAGCCATTTGGTTCATGCTATAAATCTTCTGAAATGTATACAATTCATTAAAAGTTTTGAAAGAAGTACAAGTTAGCATTTATATTGCAACAAGTGACATATAAATGTGTATGTTTGTCTTCTAAGCATGCCATAAAATACATCAGCACTAGCTGGTCGTTTTGACTGGTACTAATGGCCCGCTCTCTGGGCCGATGATAAGTTTCATCACAAATCTTTGATCCTGTCAACACAAAACTGTTCAATCAACAGGAATATGAGTTGTGTCTTTAGTAAAATTAGCACAGGAAAGAAATACAGCCGATAGCCTCACCGGAGTGTGTGTGGGCAGGCTCTCTTTGGGATGAACTTATGAGCATTTGTTTGGGATCCCAGCTCTTTGAATGTCAAAGCTTCAGTTCCTGCTGGGCCCTGGGACATTATATTTATAAGGATGCACATTCATTTAGACAGCAAAGTAGCTGAGGTATCTCAAGCAGAAAAGTGGATCCCGCTGCCTGCTTTTTGCAATTGAGGCCCGGGAAATTAAAAATAAAAGTTTCAGTCTTCACACACCGTGGGATGCGCTGCAGGTCATTCCTTCTGCATGCATTCCAGCCTGATTCCTGGAGTTGCTTAGTAGCTCAGGCTAAGGATTGGGCTTATCCTAGAACTTATCAAAGGCATTTTTCAATCATAGCTCTAGCAGAGGAAGTGATGTGGGATAAGCAAGGGGGCCACTCTTGGATGTCTGTGGGTGCTGCTCTTTCACCTTGGAGAAGCACTCAGAAGTCTCCCCAGCATTTTCCAGAGCAAAAGATGGGAAGACAAGGCTGAGATGGGGGCATAATGTTGTTCTGTGCTAGCTGCATGTTCCCTCCATCCTAAGAACTCATTCCCGGGAATGACAGGAGGAGATAAATGGAAGGCGGCTCTTTTGCTAATCGGAGTCACAGAACAGATGTTTCCAGTTTCAGGCTACTGGGAAAATGTATGGACTTTGCACCTCCCCTTCTTCCTCCCACCAGAAGGTACGTGGGAGAACAAACATGACAAGCTGTTAGGAGTACACTGCCGCCTATTGCCCTTGATTTTCATTTTCCACAGGGAACATCAAGCGCTCTGGTCACTCGTCCTATCAGCAGAACAAAAATTCCCTGCAGTGTAGATGTCACCTAGGGAGACCACGAAGTTTACCCCTGAGACAGAGCGTGCTGTCATCGCACACTGGTACCCTGCCGGGTGTCTGACCTTGTGCCTTTGAGTGCCTGCGTGCACGCTGTCTTAGTATAACAGATGATTCACATTTATGAACATTCACAGCTAATGCTTGGCCAGCCACTGAGACTTAAACAACCACAAGATGCAAACCAATGTTTCTTCGCCTTTCCCTCCCTTCAGGATACAGGCAACCCCCGCTTAGCACTCTGAATTGGTTCCTGAAAAAATGAGCGTTAAGCGAAATGGAAAGTATTTGACGACCCGAGATGGCAACCATGGGGCACGTGTGAGCCTGGCATGAGCGTTCACGTGGGCTTGGCATGAGGAAGCATGCGTGTGCATGCCTGTCACGAGCATGCATGCAGGAACGTCATGATACAAGCTGGCAATTGCAAGCATTATAACAAAACTCGCTCAGCGCTAAGTGTCAATTTAAAATGCGCGTTATAGCGCTAAGCGGGGGTTGCCTGTACCCCGATTCGTGGACCATCACATGCGATGTGACGCCACCGAGACCTGGTGCAGATGTGCAATATCTTTAAAATAGCCTCACCAAAAAGCAGTTTAGGGCCATCCCCGATGTTGCCGCGGTCAGCTCATTTCTAAATTATTTCATTCCACTTACTCATGCGATTTCGAGACACAAGTCGTCATCGGGAACCGACCCAGCCGGAGCCGCGCGGCCAAATGGGGTTTGTCTAGCCGCTGGGTCAGCTCTTGAGACCACGGTTTCTGGAGGGTGAGCTGACCAGGCTGAATTTGTCCATCCTTAGATGCATTGACAATCAGCGGAAGGCTAATTCGGGGGCTGGACTCAATGGTCTCGCGAGGTCCCTTCCAGTCCTAATGTCTATGAAGTAAACGTGGGGTTCAGGCGAATTCATAGCGCTCACCTGACGCTTGTTCGGGATCGATATCTAGCACAAGGCTGCGCAGGCTGAAGCAGACGCTGCTTTCGCTGCTTCTGACCAAGCGAGCTTCAGCTTGAAATTACTTTGGTTAGTGTGTAAGGTGCGAAGGGGCAGCGAGCTGGGCCTGACCGGGTTTTCCCTGCTCCGCTTGCGGTCTTTCAGGTCTGGTTCAGAGCTGCCTCATCTGGCGCATCTGCAGTATGGGCGCAAGGCCTGGCTCGGCCAGCCCCTTGAGGGACCAGGGCCTCGCTCCAGGACTGTCTCGTGGCCACGTCACTTTCATGCCGCGCGTGAACCGCGCCATAAATGCCCCGTAGGCCCGGCAGGTGGCGCCGCGGTGGCAGCCAGGCTGCGTTGCCCGGGCGACGGCGCCGCCCCGCCCCCCGCCGCAGCGCCTCTTCCGGCGGCGCTGGTTGTTGACGCCATCACTCCGCGCCACGGCGTTTTCCCT